GATCTTGGTTCACTGCAGCCTCAACTTCCTGGGCTCAAGCAATCCTCCCACATCAACCTCCTGAGTAGCTGGGACCACAGGTGTGCACCATCATGCCCAGCTAATTTTTGTATTTTTGGTAGAGATGGGGTTTTGCCACGTTGCCCAGGCTAGTCTTGAACTCATGGGCTCAAGTGATCCATCTGCATTAGCCTCCCAAAGTGCTGGGTGTAAGCCACTGTACCCAGTTAAACCTGTTTCTTTTTTTTCTTTTTCTTTTTCTTTTTTTTCTTTTTTTTTTTTTGCATGCACTTAGGGCATATAAACCTGTTTCTTTAACAGTAAAGTGGAAATGATAAACTTTCTACTTTGACGGGTTGTTATTAGGGTGAAATAATTATTGGGAGCAGGTATGTGAAGCATCTAGTGGAATACTAAGCACATAGTAGGATTATCTCAGTAACTGATCTCATGCTTTTGACTGAAACTCTTGTAATAAGTCCCCCATCCCTCTCATTCCTCCTACATACCACTGAAATTAACTTCCCTAACAAAAAAAAGTTGGAGCTTGTCAGTTGCCTGCTCAAGAAAACATCAATGGCTTCATTCATCCCTTCAGCCAGTTAGCAAGAGCCACTACATGTCACAAGCAATGCTAGAAATGACTAAAGTTCAAATTCCTCAGCCAAGTGTTCAGGGTGGGGACTGGACCCAGCCTACCTGACTCCTCTGATCTCCAGCCACACAGAGCCACTTTTCTCATCAGCCTGACTCTGTCCTTCCTCCTGCCTGGTCAAATGCTGCCTCATCCATCTGTTTCTTTCTCCAATAGACAGAGAAATTATTTGAACGTTTGTGAAGCCTTGATCACTTTTACATATAATACCTGGACATGTTCATATAATCCTAGATTCACTTTTTGAACCCTCCTCAGTAAATATCTATCAAGTGAATGGGTGGAATCATACTAGCTTCCTGCCTTCACTCTGCAGACTTGAAATTTTCCTTTTTTAGAAAATTCTGATTTGTACTTATTATTCATTATCATGCCTGTCTAAATGAATAAAGTATCAATATCTGTGCCAAAGTCTTCTAATTTCCCTTCTTTGTCACTAGCTGAACCCCAAGTATATAACTCTATTACTAAATAGTCACTAAAGGCAGGAAAATAATTTTACATAAAGTGACATTGCACTTTTTTTGTTCTTCCAGATAGTCTTCCTGTTGCAGATTTCAGACTTACATACTGTTTCACTAAAATCCCCAAACTTCATGCTTTTTCATCCGAAGCCACTTGTAATTACTCTGTTTTTACTGATACTGGCCTACCTTGAAGAGATCTTTAGTAATGTCAATGTTTTCTTAATATAAAATATTTGGAAAATAAAGTTTTCTAAAGACTAACAAGGCTTACAGTATAATTACAAGGATTCTGTTACATCTGACTCCCCTTATTGCCCTTGCATTGTGTTTTAAATTCATCTAGAGTTCCTCTCTTTTCTTCATGATGTTTAGTAACTGGAACAATATTGCATCATCACAAACTCGAACTTCACTTCCTTCCTCAAATTATTAATGAATGTGTTCAAAGGACATTACTCCTATCCCTAACACTCTCTGTTCTGATGAGCAACCATTCACTATTGTGCCTTTTCCTATTTCTTCACCAGCTTTAAATTTATTCAGTCATTTTAGCCCATACATTGGCTTGCTTTATGGTGGATGATGTAGGAAAACTATGTTGTCATTTAATAAGAAGACTATAATCTGCAGCTAGAAACTAATTCCTTAACTTGTCTGTTACGGCATATTTTTGAATCAGCACCCATCAACCTATAACATGGCATTCTAAGGGGTTATCTCCTGGCCTTGAGTTATTTATTACATTTTTTTTCTTGTGAGTCAGGGGAAGAGAAATGTGCTTGCTTTTTAATATTTAAGTGTAGGTCATTTTCTTTCTTTCTTTCTTTCTTTTTTTTTTTTGAGACAGAGTTTTGCTCTTGTTGCCCAGGCTGGAGTGCAGTGGCGCAATCTCGGCTCACCGCAACCTCTGCCTCCCGGGTTCAAGCGATTCTCCTGCCTAAGCCTCCTGACTAGCTGGGATTATAGGCATGCGCCACCACGCCTGGCTAATGGTGGCTAATTTTTGCATTTTTAGTAGAGACGGGGTTTCTCCATGTTGGTCAGGCTGGTCTCGAACTCCTGACCTCAGGTGATCTGCCTGCCTCAGCCTCCCAAAGTGCTGGGATTTCAGATGTGAGTCATCGTGCCCAGCCTAAATGTAGATAATTTTCACAGGGCTGGACACTCATTAGGCAGAACTGTTTCTGGTGGCCGGGTGGGAAAGCAAGTTCCTTTGATCATTGATGATTTGGTTTCCCCATTTGTCTCATACTATTTGTATGTTAAGCATTATGCACTCAGTTACATTATTTAAAAATCTCTAAATCCAACTGGCGTTTATGAAAATAAAAATTTTAAAACTGGAGTGCTGGAAGGTGAGGAGAGACCTTAAATGATCAGAAAACTTGCTTTCAACATTTCATCTCAAGATCAAATAAGGCCATTGACAAGGCTGTGTCCAAAAATGTGGACATATTTTTATCCTAAAACCTCCAGCTCCTTCAGTACCAATATTTTCAAGGCCAGATGTGATGGCACACACCTGTAATCCCAACACTAGGTTGTAATACTAACTGAGACAGGAGGATTACCTGAGGCTAGAAGCTTAAGACCAGCCTGGGCAACACTGTGAGACTCTGTCTCTACAAATATAAATAAATAAATTGCTGGGCATGGTGGCATGTGCCTGCCTATACTCCTAGCTAATTGGGAGGCTGAGGTGGGAGGATTGTTTGAGCTCAGGAATTTGAGGCTGCATTGAACTATGATCATGCCAGTGCACTCCAGCCTGGGTGACAGAGAGAGACCTTG